CCGTTGATGTGAATGGCACTGTCACGCCCCCTCCCTCCTTCCCCAGAACACAAGGAGAATTTGTGTATGCTATGCCTTGCGTTCCGAGCAAGGGACAGTGCAATGAGCACACGGGCTGGTGGAAACAAGCCCTTAGACATGACCCTGTCCAGGGTCTTCCTGCCACGGGAGAAGCTGCTGTCTCTACACTCCCATGTTCAGGCTCTTACAATATTTATTATGGCATACGTTTCTTATAGTAAATTTAATTGAGGGTATCCTTATCCATTCATTTATAGTGCCTTCAATAAAATATTATACTTAGGTTATTAACCTACTAGTCAGTAATCAATCTAATTGATTAATATGAACCTGAGTTATATGATTACTAGCACACTTTAGTTCTTTTGAGACTATGTAGATATTATTTTAATTCACAATAAAATCATCTGTAATAATCACAGGCTATTAAGAGGTAAAATAAATGAATAACTTAGGTGATGTCCCCCCCCCCAATATAAATAGTTACAAGTCTTCACACCATAGACCTTAATGATAACAACAATCAGATGTCAAAATCAAAGAATAATGGCAACGATAACAACAGGTATGTATCAAAATCAGTGCATCTGCCTAAACTTTTCATCAGATAATGACAGTATTATTATGGGTTAAAGCCATTGATTACCTCCCCTCTATAATGGCAGACAATTCTTCATAACCTAATCCACCAATGCTAATAGGGAATAAGCAAACGTGATTATATAAAAAATGAACTCAATTGGTCAATCAAAACCAAAACAGACTCTAGGCCTTACCTGCAAAAAAAGGGTTAAAAGGTAGAGTTTTCCATTACTTTCCAAACTGGAAAACGTTTGCTTGGCTTCCCCTTAGCACAGTAATATACAATCTTAAGCTATAATATAAAACAGAACATTAGATCAATTGTATATGTTACCAACAACACCGATATTGTGAACCAGGTCTGGAAATAAATCTTGAGTCCCTCTCTCTCCCAGTTGGATCCCACCTTTAGATGGCAATCAGATGTCCTCTCTCTGTCAGGTGATCCTCCCCCTTTTATGTCCCAAATTCAGTTATCTCTGGATTACCCTACAGGGTGTAGTTTAAAGGTGTTTGCTGACACCTGGCTGGTGGGCGTATTTAATCATTACTCAGGTATTTGATTAGGTGAACCCCTAGTTGTGACATTGTAGGTCTCTCATTTGTAAATTTCCAAGAGCAACATTGTATCTCATTAACCCTGATATCACAGAGTCAAAGTTGTATGCTTCTATTCATCCTTATCATTCCGTAATTGGTTCACAATTTGTGTTCCGTCATATACATTATGTTCGAGTCAATACTTTTTCCCCGTTCTTTGTGGCAAAATTAGGTGCCTCGGCTTATACTCGAGTATATACGGTACTTTGGTATGTTGACCGGTGGGTCTGTATGTATACATATAATATATATGAAATCCAAATTATATTGAGCTAATTTGTGTGTATTTCATACAAATTGAACACAGCAGCTGGGTGTATCACTATCCCCATAGCGCAGGTCCATTTGTACACATATAATATATACACATACATATATACCACCAGTAGATTTTATTATATTGTCAAGTGTTCTGGCTGCGCAATCTAATACTCAGCGTAAGATATGCTGTTACCTCCTTGTTCCCATTGCTGATATTTGGATATGTGGTTATTTATT